TTATTCAGTTTTTTAAAGTTGGCTTTCGAAAAATCAAAGCGAATATTTGGTTCGTATGTTTGGATATCGCAATTTTGACCATCGTTTATAATTTCGTAAGATATCTCAATAGCAGGGTGGTAGACATCTTCGGGCAAAACTAGTGGGTCACATTTATTTACAGCCGACTTAAATGCATCATCAACATAAACAAGATCTAATACTTTGCCAAACTTATTGCGAAGTACATTAACTTGATTCAGGCAGAGTTCAGCCATCTCCTCTAAAAATACGTTGTTGCACGCGCTAGACGAGAAAGGTACAATATCATTGTCAATGATGTTCCATGATACATTTGGTAAATTAAAGTCACCCAACACAATCAATGAATTAGAGGGTTTAATCATTGAATTAATTGATTTCAGTAAAGATACATGTTGTGAATACACTGATAAGTCAGATCGGGGAGGAATATAGCATAGAGCTAAGTAAGTAAACCCCCTTCCAACCTGAACACGAATGCATTTGAATTCTGCAGATTCAATGTGTGCAAGACTAACATCTTCAGATGGTATTGAAGAGTCTACGGCAAAGAGTACGCCACCGCCGACTCTGTCCTCCCGATCTTTTCTATAGATATGATAATTATTTGAAAGAATCTCTGAATTAAAAGTGTGAGGTTTGAGCCAAGTTTCAGTCAAAGAAATTATATTATAATTGCATTCAAGGCCATTAAGATATAAATTCGTTAATTTAGTACTTATGCCTCTTAGGTTTTGATAATAAATACTTAAAGCAGATTTAGTAATCAGTTTTTTGGTTCTGTATTCTGACGGAGAATATTTGCTAAATTATTATTTTTTTGGGCCTATACTCAAATTCACGATCGAAAGCTCCGGAGGGCCAAAAGGAACTACTAAGCAGCATGTCAAAATTTTCTAAATTTACGTCTATTTTAAATGAAGAAATATTTCTTTCATATTTAAAATTAAATTTTTTGATACTTAAGTTGACAGTTTTAACTTTGGACGAGATGTAAAACTTTATATCGTCCTCGGAAGTAACCCTCGAAAATCTAGATACAAATATAGACTTCTTTGGGGAAACCACAACCAGTCTCCTAGTATTAGACTCGATTACCGGCGGACGGGGTTGAGTAACTGAGGTACTAATTGAGGGTAGAGTAAGCGTTGGAAGATTAGATGGCGGTGCCACAACTTCAACGGGGGAAGGGGAAGATACTGCAGGGTCGTTATTATTAGAAGCAGACTTTGATATATGTTCTTTTGAGGAAGATAACTCCGTTGTCTGTGGACATAGAGAAGAAAGATTAATTAAGCCATTCGGAAGATTGTTCTGACGTGGAACGGTCCTTTCATTAGGCGGACTATGAAGACGCTTACGTTTTGACACATGAATGTCCTTCATAGATTGTACGGTATCTAAGCATTTAAAAGATTTAAATACATTTTCATAATGTTTAAATTTTTCGGTCAGTACCGACAACTCTCTCCCTACCTCAGAAAACCCATTTCTGGTTTGCCTAAACAACTTAAAGAGATCAACTTCGGTTGACCTGCACTTTAAGCAAGACCAGCGAAGACTTTTGCCATCATTAATAGCGCCCAGAATTCTTCCTGTCAAACCAGCACATTTTAGATGGCAAATACCATCACAGAGCCAGCACGATAAGTAGCCTTCAGATTCGCTTTTAATTTGGCAGTTATCAAGATCACACTTCATATTGGAAGATTTAATAACACTTATGTTAATAAAAAGACAAGCAAAATAAGTTTAAAACAACACACACAACAATTTAGGAGCTGATGTATTTAGCTTAAAAATATATGTAGCGAACAGTTTGAGTATCACTGTATTGTGACACTTAATAAACGCAGCGCAAACAGCTGTGACAAGAAATACTAAACGAAGTAAACAAAATGACCAAAAAGAAATGTGCAAAAATAGAAACGATCTCAGTTAACCACAAAGGAATAACAACAACAATGATAACAACAAATGACTCGGCAAGATTAGATGTATGCTAGTGAAATTTAATTAAATTTAATATAAACCACAAAAATCACAAAACTTTCACTTAGCTTCGATTATTATCACACTAAGATGCTCGTAGGCACTTTTTATAGCAACTTTTACTCAGAATTAGCACAATAAACTTTGCAAAATACAAAGACAAATCAGAGCACAATATAAGTAGAACTTCACAGCTTGACGTTTGCTTATACTCCTAATTAACCGTGTATGTTCTTGTGGTGTGATTGTACCAGCTACTGGTGCGACTTCAAAAACTATTTGAACATTTTATGATTGTACCAGCATGCTGGTGTCGAGAGTGGTGAAATTAGCTCAATTTTCTAAGTAAAAAGTATTTTGGCGGAAATTTCTTGCACTATATGAGTCAAAGCTGTGTTTGTGGAGGATTAAGTTCACGATATTGCAGTTGTGAATTAAAACAAAAATGTTTAAGAAAATGGTAGAAAAATTGTGAAATTTCGGCTCTAATCATTTCGATCTTTCCTCGACCTCATTTGTAAAGAAATAAATATTGTACCAGCATGCTGGTAAGTTATATGCTTCGAGTCTGATGGTAAAATCACTTGATGGAGCCAGCAAGCTGGTGTCGTATATTTACCCTTTTATACAAGGTTTTTTGGTTGGATAAAATATTAGCTTTTTTCCAGAGTTAATTGTTTTTCTATACCGTCACTTATTGAAAATGTTTGTGAGTACACTTATATATGTATATGTAAGTAAAACTTTTAGCTACCATTTTTAGCCACAACGACTTTTTTTAGCTCCGTTTTAGCCCTTTTTTTTAAAGTAATTTGGCTACCACTAAAAATGAGCCGCGGCAACACTGCCTGCAAGTCAGCTGTAGGGAAAAATGGTGTTTGAAGACCCATATTTTTCACTGGATGTAGAGAGTGGTTATGCGTCTAATTTTGTTCAAAGGCATTGTGGATGCCTCTAGATAGGTCTACAGTAAGGAATAAGTTAATCTCTAACACTCGTTTCCATAAAAATCAAAAAATGGCTGGCCATTTTTTCTGGACTAATCTGATGAAAATCAATCTAGCTTGAAAACAGATATCGATATACTATTTGTTGACAATGTTCTTTCGTATAGCTGTAACTAAATCAATTATGTTGTTAATTATTTAAATCGAATTTAAAATCTTGTTTTTAGATCCTTGAATGCTTTTTGCGAGGATATCAAGGAATATAATTATAATAATGCACATGTTACGGGAATGAATAATTATCTCAAAAATTTCGATTCGAGTTTTTTTTAAAGTATTTTAGATGATCCAAAAGTGGCATACAGAATTTCAAAATTTTTCCCACGTTACAAACATACCTCTGGTAATAAACCTGCTTGGTTCAGCTATAAGCTATGGCATCTAAAGCATTTAAAAAATAAGGCATTCATTAGTTTAAAAAAACATGTACATTAGCCGATTATTTAAACCAGAGATGGACAGATTTTTAGCTCTTAAAGCAGTCAAAGTGTCAGCAAATGCTGGGCAAGAGGTAAAGCAGTACTCAGGTTAAGGAGTTGTAAAATATACATTAAAAGCATTATTACTCCGGCTCCCATGGTATTCATCGCAAAGTGGCTGCGGAAATACTAACTAAATAATAATTATCATATATACTATATATGAGTTGAGATGGACGCATCCACAAACAACCACGAGCTAAGAGTGAAAGTATTATGGCCTGATTATGGCAACTTAACCCAATTAACCCCAGATTAAATATTTTTAGATTTTTTTTTGCTTATATACAGGATAAAATTATCTTTAAAGTAAAGGAAAAATGTGGTGATTTAGTGCAGTCCACCAAAAGAAAAGACGCGGTTATATG